GGCCTGTCCCTGGGCACTTATTCTGAGCCCAGAATCCCAGAGTCTAACCAACATGCGCCTTCCAGCCAAGCTGAAAAAAACCGCAGGGTTTCTCGCTGCCACTCCCGCCCCGTATCACGGCTTTCTCAGCAGTGTCCAATGTCACATCCTGCTCTTTCCGCCCGATGGCCCTCAGCTCGCTTGCTCTGTGCGGTGTGAGCGCGCTGAAGGACGCGTTTGATGCCCCGCGCTCCTCTGTCCTTGGTGGGAACGCTCACCCAGCTCAGTGGAAAGCGTGGAAAGCTAACCTGGGAGCAGGGGTAGGGTTGAGACCCGGCTCTGCCACCGATGCCGACTCCACTGTGCGTGGTGAGAAAAGTCCGCGCGCTCTGGAGCCCCGGCTTCCCCTTCTCCACCGCGCTGCGAACTCCCGGCTCCTGCGCTCCGGCTCTGAGTCCGCGGAGTGCCCCGAACCAGGGCTGGTGTGGGCAGCTTTGGAAGAGGGCTCAGGGCAGGGGTTGGTAGAACCTTGACGGGCTTCCTTCAGGTAAACCGGAATGCTGGTGGTGGGGTCCAAGCAAACCAGGAGGTAGGAAGCAGGGGGCTCCTCTCTCTGCCCTGTGTCCCATGCTTGGGGTGACGATATTTCTGTTTACAGTGTTTAAGGGAACCAGCGGCGAGAAAGTGTTTCCGACTGTCCGGGCCATTCTGGGAGCCTAAACAGTTCGTGCCCGCTAGCCAGAGGCCACGGAGACCTGAAATCCCAGGTAAGCCACGGAAAATGTTTTACTTAATCAACCCCTACTTCTTACACGGGGACATCTCATGTGGGCTCATGCGCGCCGCAGGCTTGAATTTTTCCCAGCGCCTTGTCTTTTCCACATTCAGGTTTCTTCCTAAAAACAAAATAAAAGAAACCGATCGCAGATTGGCCATGCACCCTAAGCCTATCTTACCAACTCCGTGGAAGAAAGGGGACTGATGAAGTATCTCCCACTTCTCAGAAGGAAAAAAATTAGGCCTCCAAAGGGCCAAGGATGGCTCAAAGTCACTGGGCCTGTTATCATCAATCTGAATTTGGAATTCTCACAAGTTGCTGTCTGTGGACAGACTTCCCCGTGGTCGCTGGGGCAGAGGATCCCACAGGCCCCGTTTGTGTCTTGCTCTGATGCTCTCTGGGGCCATACAGCCTGGTGACCCTAACAGATTGTCCTAAAGTAACCCAAGTGAGCCAGGAGAGCTGTTTCCCTCTCAGCCCTCCTCTCCAAAGAAAGAAAAAACAGCCAGCCCTTTCCAGGACCTGGGCCCAGTCTCCTTCCAACTCTAATTTCCAAGATTTTCTTAAGTGGAAGAGCTGGTTACCTTTGCATCCACATGCAGGGAGGGTTACACACCCTCCCAAGGTGATTCAAGACAGGGAAAGCAGTTGTTACAGAAGAGCTTTCAAGTTTTCTACAGAGCCCCAGTAACAACCCCGCACGCACAACCAAAAAATGAACATAAAGTGACTTGTGATAGGGCAAGGGGTGCTGGGAATATTCTGGGCTGAACACAGGAGGGAAGCAGTTGGAAATTATCTGGCCCACCCACAGCCGGAAAAACCCCACTTGATTGCCAAGGGGCTGGAACCCACACTCCCTAGCTTTCAAAGGATTCTCAATGACGTGTGTGATCCCACACCATTAATAGGAGAAGATTTGATCATGACCGCCCCTCCTCTACTCAGGAAACTGAGAAGGAAGCAAAGGGAAGATAAAGTAAATGCCCTGGCACCGAAGGGATTTGATCCAAACGGGTAAACTCGTGACCCAATGTTCATCAAATCATTCAATCTGAATTTCACATCATGGAGTCACAGAGTTTTCAAAGTACAGAATTTTGAAATGTGTTGTTTGATTACAACATTTATGTAAGGAATCTTACTGGTCCTTTCTCCATGAATATCTTAGAATCACGTGTTTATTTTGTTTTGTAGTACTGGAGATGGCTCACCACGGCCTGGTCCATGCCAGGCAACGCTAAATCTCTAAGGCCAAGTCTTCATCTGGAGCAGAAGTGTTGCTGAGGAGCAACAAAGTTTGAGAGAAAGGAATCAGAATTCTAGAAACGAGGCCACCAGACATCAAGGATCAGAAAATCCTGGTGAAGACATGGGAGCTTTTTGGCACAGTCCTTGAGCTTGAAAGGAGAAAAATCATAAAGTACGGGACTGATCGTTAAAGCATACGGTACAAATGTTAGAATCACAGGAGTAAGATTCTTTGAGCTACAAAACTCAAGTGTTGAGATAAAGGGAGTCTGGGTTTACAGGACCCAAATCTTCCAGACATTCACAGGCAGGAATTCAAACTAAACAACATATACCTTAGAGCTGAAGAGGAAAAAAAATACCTACAGCTGGAGAAGTGGCAGCTCTCAGTAGCGGCATCTAGTTTCAGGTGCAAAGCCTGTAGTCGGAACATCTTAATATAGAATAGGCATTTAGACTTTCACCAGGAGCTCAGAGCCACAGGAACAGATAACCAAAGTCAAAGAACTTCACAGAATCGTGTTCCTTGACTTATGGAATCATGTTAAGATGATGGTCTAGAATTTAAAATCTAGAAATCCAAATCTCAGAATCTTGGAAGTATAGAGAACCAAATAATCCGTATTAAAAGGTCCCAATGATATAATTCGGTTAAATTTTTTGTTTTTAATTTCCCCTTTGGAAAAAAACGAAACAGAATGAAACCTGGATTTTCATTCTTCCTATTTTTAGAAGAAGGAACCTGGTTGGGGTGAGGGTTTGTTTAGCAAGTGTAAGCCCCTCTGCATTCATTAGGGCCCCTCCGCTCGGAAAGGTCGTCAGCAAAACCGCACGACTGCTTCCACACACCTGGATCAGCAGAGTGAGGATCTAGGCTCTTTGCCTCTTTCTTCTGAAGGCAGCTGCCTAAAGCTCACTGAAGAACTCGACTAAAACCCCAGAAGGCGGAAGGGACCATCCATTTCAAGCCAGAACCCTCCGCTGGAGATCTCTGGCGCTCCCAAGGCACCCACAGTCCCCCGGGAAAGCTTTGTCCTTGGCTGGAGCCTAGGAGCCTCTTCTGGGCCAGGAATTCTAAGGGTTGGGGCGGGAGAGGGGGGTTGAGCAGCGTGGAGAAACGCACATGCCCTGAGGCCCTTGGAGAGAAAGGGACAAACTCAGAAAAGTGGTCACAAGTGAACCCAGGCCAAAGAGGCTGCGCTAGGAGTCCCAGGCTAGTACCAAGTCCTGCCTGGGGATGACCGCAAACCCCATAAGAAATCAGACACCAGAGAAGCAAACGAAGCAAACCGGTCCCAAATGCCTCACCCCTTCCCTGAGAGGCGCGCCCCCCTCCTTGCAGTAACTGCCCCTACCTCTGTACTCCCGGTTGCAAGAGATGGATGCTAGCCTGCCCGGGCAGTGTGCGAACTGCCTGAAACCCTCCCTGGCCCCGGGGAGGTGGAGGAAAAGGTGACCGCGAGAGGACCGGAGCTTACCCTTCATCGTCTTTAAATCGTGCACCATCTCCATCACATAGAGATGGGTCCGAGCCTCTCAAACAAGAGTGCTTTCCCTAATATCCGCAACGAAAGGGCTCTTGAGACCCGAATCTGTGCAGTCGAGAAACTTGGGGTCCAAAAAAAAGGACCCAGAAAGGGAAAGCGACCACCTCTGGCACACAGCTAGGAAGTGCTGCCCTAAAACGGACGCAGGTTGCAGGCTCCTCTAAACGGAGAAGTTGTGGCGGGGCCATGGCAGGTTACCTCTCTTTCGGGACTGGAAATCCTCGTCTGAAAGAGGGGACTGGACTGGGGAGTGGGGAGGGAACCCGTGACCTGCATTTGGAAATCACCGTGAAATGCCTGGGGAGCCAGTCATTCGGGACTTCTCCTAGTCCTCCACCCCACAATAACCAACATCCCTTCCCCCCGCCTGGCCAATTCCCATCCTTTCAGAACACAAAAGTAAAGCGAGCCCGTCCTTTCACCTGGGAGTCCCAGTCTTTGGCAGAGGTGGAAAAGATCCGAAGACGCTGAATTAGGAAGTGAGATCTCCCGAGCAGATCCCAGGAACTGTCCTGGCCTCAGTCTCCCCGTTGGCGTGCAGAGGGGAGCACTCTCCAGCATCTCCAAGATCCTCCCTGCTCTGACATTTCTGGGGCTCCCGCTGCGCCGCCACAGCTGCTCCCACCTGGGGAGGTGCGCCCGAGGCTGGGGGGCGGGCAGCAGAGGGGGCGGGCGGGGAACCGGCTACGCCCCACACTTCCTGGCGCCTTTAAGGAGAAGCCGGCGGAGGGAGGAGCTGGTTCAGGTGTGTGCAGGGGAGCGCCACGCCAGCGGTCCCCAAGGTTGTAGTCCAACGCTGCGGAGGGGAGCAGTCGCCGGTCGCCCCGCGTGGCCCGCACCCTCATCTTGCTGCCTGGCCTTGCCTCTCTGTCCTCGGGACGGCCCGCCGCCTCGGCCGCAGGGGCGCGGCATGGGCGGTCCCCACCGGAGTGCCCGTCGCTGGCACTAATTGCCCTCACTCCTGGCCTTTGGTCCCGCAGCCACCTCTGCGCGCAAGACCCCGACGGTTTTCCTCCGACCAGCTGAGATCGAGGACCAGGTGCAGCTGTCCCAACCCGGGACCACTTCCGGACCCCTGGACCGCCTGGCACCAGCGCGCCAAGGATCCTGCAGCTCGCGACTGGAACCTAATCCAGGTCCCAGTGCCTCCGCCGCCACTGCCTGCCTGGAGCTCCAGATTACGAGTTTAGCCGTCGGTGGGCGGGACACTCCGAGCCTCTGACCCCACTGCCCCTAGCCAGGAGACCCGGACGACGAGCCTCCAGCGCGCCTTAGCCCAGGCTCTAGCGCCATCCTGCAAAAGGACTCCCTGAACTCTTTGCCGAGAATTTAGCATCGGTTCCAGGAAACCGGGTCCCTGGTCGCAGCTCCCAGACCCGCCTCCGCCCCGACGGTCGCCAGCGGCGGGGGCGCAGACGCCGGGAGACTCGAGGGACCGCTGCGCCATGACGGCCGAGAGCGGGCCGCCGCCGCCGCAGCCCGAGGCGCTGGCGGCCGTGAAAGAAGAGCGCGGCGAGGCCGCGGCGGCAGGGCCCGGGGTCCCGGCGGAGGCCGCGGGCCGCAGCGCGGGTGGGCGGCGACGCAAGCGCCCCCTGCAGCGCGGGAAACCGCCCTACAGCTACATCGCGCTCATTGCCATGGCCATCGCGCACGCGCCCGAGCGCCGCCTCACGCTGGGCGGCATCTACAAGTTCATCACCGAGCGTTTCCCCTTCTACCGCGACAACCCCAAAAAGTGGCAGAACAGCATCCGCCACAATCTCACGCTCAACGACTGCTTTCTCAAGATCCCACGCGAGGCCGGCCGCCCGGGCAAGGGCAACTACTGGGCGCTTGACCCCAATGCCGAGGACATGTTCGAGAGCGGCAGCTTCCTACGCCGCCGAAAGCGCTTCAAGCGCTCGGACCTCTCCACGTACCCGGCCTATATGCACGACGCCGCGGCAGCCGCTGCGGCCGCTGCAGCCGCCGCCGCTGCGGCCATCTTCCCGGGCGCAGTACCCACCGCGAGGCCGCCCTACCCGGGGGCCGTCTATGCGGGCTACGCGCCGCCATCGCTCGCCGCGCCACCTCCTGTCTACTACCCCGCCGCGTCGCCGGGCCCTTGCCGCGTCTTCGGCCTGGTTCCTGAGCGGCCGCTCAGCCCAGAGCTGGGCCCCGCGCCGTCTGGGCCCGGCGGCTCCTGTGCCTTTGCCTCGGCAGGAGCCTCCGCCACGACCGCCGGCTACCAGCCGGCCGGCTGCGCAGGAGCGCGCCCGTCCAACCCCTCGGCCTACGCGGCCGCCTATGCCGGCCCCGACGGCGCGTACCCCCAGGGGGCCAGCAGTGCGCTCTTCGCTGCCGCTGGCCGCCTGGCGGGACCCGCTTCGCCCCCCACGGGTGGCAGCAGTGGCGGCGTGGAGGCCGCAGTGGACTTTTATGGGCGCGCATCGCCGGGCCAGTTCGGAGCGCTTGGGCCCTGCTACAATCCTGGCGGGCAGCTCGGAGGGAGCAGTGGTGGGGTCTACCATTCCCGCCATGCCGCTGCCTATCCTGGCGCGGTGGATCGGTTCGTGTCGGCCATGTGAGCCGTAGGCGCTCAGACTCATAGATACCTCGGCTGTCCACACGAACTAAATTTGAGACCTGAGGACAGGACTAAAGACAGGGTCAAATTGAGACCAACGTGGGGGTCTCAGACCGAGAGGGCTGGAGAGGCTGTCTCGTGCACACCTTTTACAACACGCGATTTACCTTGTAAATGGAAGAAGGAGGAGAGGCTTACCTCAGCGTTTGTACTGACACCAGAAATTCCTCTATGGGACGAAAAGCCCCCAAAGGATTGTGCCTTTCTGGCATTTTATCAGGGAGGGTCCGAGACAATAAAGAAGGACAGAGTAGGGACTCCACCAGAACCCAGGGTCCGAATTGTGGGGCAATCACATGGTTTCACCCTTTCCTTCGCCACGCAGAACTCAGGCCATTTTACTTGGTACCTTGTACCCTTGACTAACTTGCTACAAAAAACGGCTCCGATGGCTCCTTTCTTAAAGTGAGGACAGTTTGCAAAAGTAGTCTTTAAAAAGAAAGAAAGGAATCTACCCCGTTTGAACTGGGCTGGTTTTCCCTGCCTCTGAGAACTGCAGACCTAGCTGGCGATGGGAACTATACCTCAACTCCCCATTGTGACCCAGTCCCATCACCTGAACCTTCAGATTTTGCAACAGAGGGCTGCGTGATTCTACCCCCTATTGTTTTTAAGGGTCCCATCCTCTTGGATGCCATCCTGAATATTTGGCATTAATGGTGGGCCACCCAGAGCTTCCAAATAGCTACCCAAAGCCTAACTAACCGCCATTCAGGGAGGTGGAACAAATTATGGCAAGAATCTAACCTGAAATCCCAGGATTAGCTCCAAGCAGCGATTATATTTTAATTTATTGAGTCTTTTGAGCAGGGTGTGCTGGCCATTCCTCAGCTATAACTGCCCAGTCGTAAATCTGGCTTTCCTGTGAGGCAGGTTGAAATACACTGGTCCATTGGCCATGCTTCTTTCCATCAAGCAGCCAGGCCCCAATGGGTGAATAAAGTTCAAGGAGATGGGAGGACTTGGGAGCAGGATGGTACCAGCTTTCATTTCTGGCACCCTCTGCTACACCTCTGCAGTGTCCCATGCAAGAAGGAGAGACAAACATTAAATAGGGAGGTGAGCGAAATGAGCTTGGGGGGAGGGAAACTTGGATTTTTACTTTTGTTTCGCATCTTGTTTGTTTTAGGGAGTAGCCTCACCAAAATCAGAGAGAAATCCAACATGCTCCACCTTTTTCTTGAGAATGAAAGTTTCGATTCTGGAGTTTCGATTTTCTGGCATTAAATATTTCAGAGACTCTCTTTACAGTTTTTCAGAGAACCCAGAGCGTTCAGGTGAACTGTTTTAATAAAAATCTTTGAGCAAGTGAGTTCTCATACAAGAAACTTGCTTCTTTTGAGGTAGTTAACTTGATAGAAATGCAGGGCGGTGAAAAAGAAGACTATGAAAAGTACTGGTAATTTTTTTGGTGGGGAGTTACACAGAGGAATGTGAACTTGGTTCAGTCCAAACATGAATGTGTCTAAAGCAGTACTATCCAATATATAATGCAAGTCAGAAATGTAAACTTAATTTCCTAGTAATCACATTAATAAAGTAAAAAGAAACAGGCGAAAGTAATTTTAATAATTCTCTGTATTTAACCCAATATATCCAAGATATTCCAACATAAAAATTGTTAAGATGTTTAGTTTTTTTCCATACCATGTCTTCAAATTTTATGGTGTATTTTGCACTCACAGATCATCTAACTTTAGACTAGCCAGAAGCCAGAGCTCAAGAGCAAGGTAGGGCTGATGGCTACTGTATTGTACAGTGCAGGACTAAGTGGTGTTCCTTCCTGACGTTGGCGATGGTGAATGATCACCTGGAGGCAAGTGCCACCAGGAACAATGACCCTGTCGCAGATGGATCCAGATTCCAGGCCCAGTCCCATAACCTTGGAAACATCCAGGTTTGGGACCTCGGTCCTCTCCGGCCCTTGCAGGTATGAAATCCAAGGTTCTGCTGAGCAGCTAGACAGGCTAGCTTTCCCAGGTACAGAGCTCAGGATGCCTTGCCTAGTTGGCAGGGGCGGAAGTGGAGAGTCCTTTACCCAGATAACACACTGTCCTCTCCCCTTCCCCTCATTCCCCCTCCCCCGCGAGCTTGGGACTGAAGAAGAGCAGTCTTTGCACCTGATTCGTGAAGAAATGGAGCCTGATTCTTAATTACCAATTCGAGTTCTTTGAAATGTCATTAAGCTTAAACCAGTCCCTTTTCTGGTGTCCTCATTTGTGAAATGGGAATTTGTGACTGCTACCTCGGATGGTCCCCTTGAACTGAACCGAGGCAAGAAAGAAAAAAAATGCTTTGCAAGCAGCCGGGTTTTGGTTTTTGTTTTTTTTTTAAGCGCAGTCTTGTCACAAAACCTGGAGCGATAAAGCCCCGGGAAGAGAAAGATGGGGTGGGAAAGGGCGGTGATGGGCTTATGCCAATGGCGAGGGGGTACGCCAGGAGGGAACGAGGACTCACGGGACAAGGGTCTCCCAGCCCACGAAGGTTGAGGTCAGGACGCTGAAGACAGAGCAACAGAACTTCTCCGGACAACCAGCGACACCCAGAGCTATCGTGCCATCTGGCCGTCCCGCGCAAGGAGAGACCGCAGCGCGGCCAGGAGACTGTGGGGTCGTGGCGCACCGCCATCACCCCCAGCCCGCGCGATTCTGGGGTCTTGGGAACCCTCCACCGCAGCCCCGCAGCCCCGCAGCCCCGCAGCACCGCGGGACGTTCTGGCTCTAGGAATCCACAAACCGTGGGATGGAACTTCCCAGCCCAGAGACTGGAGGTGCGTTTCTTTTCATCTTTTCTTCCTCTTCTGTTACGAGCGCAGAAAGATAGCCTGCTCCTCTCCAGCCCTTGCACCCCAGCGTCGTGTGCAGGCGCCCCCGGGCTTTGGGTAATTAGACGCGTTCTTCCCTAATTGCCCAAGGCTCGTTAAATTCGCCCCAGAGCTGCAGCATTTATTTTCTTTCAAATTAACTTTGCTTTTGCAATTAAGCTTAGGAAAACCAGCAACAAAAGCAAACTTGGCCCGAGGTCGTTTAGTACGAAAACGGATTAGGGAACCTTCCCGATTTAAGGGCAAAGATCCCAGGGACAGCGCTTTGGGGTGGCCAAGGGGGAGCAGAAGCGGCTCTCGGTGGATGGCGTCGGCATTGGCGGTGACCTAGCCATGGGGGTAATTCGTGTTCCCAGGAGAGTAAAAAGAATCTCGTTGAAATGACTTTCTGACAGTTTGAGCTGCATGTGGGTACTCTTACAAAGTACATTCATACTCATTTACTAAGAACTCTGCGAATTTTCTTTTATTAAAATATTTTTCTTATTATAAAATCAGGATGTGTTCATTGCTTTAAAAAGATTCAAGAGAAAGAGGAGAAAAAGAGAGAGGAAAACAAGAAAAAAAAAAAATCAAGGAAGCCATGGTTTGTCCAGAGTTAACGTAACACTATGGTATCTTGTCTAGATTTCGGTTTTTGTTTCTGCTGATACAGGAAGACTGAGTCTTCACTTTGTCCTTGCATTGCTGTGAGATTCTGAATCCGTTTCCTTTCAGCACTAGATAGGCCTCAGTTTCACCATCTATAAAACTAGGTTACAAGTCCCTTTGGCCCTCCTGTTCTCTGGCTCTGCCTGCTTTTGGTCATTTGAACTCAGGGCACATTTCTGAGAGGCCCAGGAGAAGCAGGCATAAAAGGGGAGCCCTCCCTGCTATTTCACACTGGACATGAGGCATGAAGCATCGCCCCCCCCACCATCCTGTCCCGCAGCTTGCTAGAAATGCAGCAGAATCTCAGGACCCACACTAGACCTACTGGACCAGAACTTACCTTCTAACAAGCTGATCAAGTGATCAGGTGCTTTAGGCAAAAGCAGAACTTTGAAAAAGGAAAAAATGTTTTCTGTTATTAAAGCAGAAGAATCCCAAAATATTTCCAGCAGCTCAGCACCACCTCCCTTGCTTTTGTTTCTGGCCCAGAACCCTAACTAGTGCCACAGCGCTATCTGGTGGCTCTGGCTGCAAAGAGAGAGAGAGAGAGAGAGAGAGAGAGGGCTGCCAGGGGTCAGGGCTGGGGTGGAGCGCATCCCCTCCTCCCTTGGTTGTTCTTTCTGAGTCTTGGAATCTTGGCCCTAAGAATATGGATACCCTCATGTTTCCAGCTGTCCAGGTGACTAACAATGACATTCAGTTGAATTGTATTTGAAAGCAACTTGAAGCTCGGGTGCCAATTAGGGCCAGGGCAGCTCCTGACTCTCGGCTGAGGCGCGGGGACTCTAACCTCCCTAAGCAGCAGTCATTTGCTCAAGTATGAAATGAACTTGAGCCTCAGCTCCTCAGCTCCAGCCCAAGTCTGGGATAGGTGGGAGTTTAGGCAAAAATAAAGCTTTCTTCTTAGGATACAGTGGCCTCTGAGCCAGTGTAGGGCAAGGAATCCCCTATAGCCAGTCAGGCTCTGGATGCCCAAAGGAATCCTGTGCTCCTCCTGTTCCTGAGGCGTGCTCACTCCTGGTGGAGGTTAACATGACAGGGTAACTGGGGAAAATGTCCCTGAAAGAAAGCAATTCCGATGGGAAATGTGCCATGAAGGATAAGTAGGACCTAGGCTGGGGCAGCCCTGTTGCCAGGATCACATAGCAACACACTGGGAAAACCAGGCTTACATGTCAGTGCTCACCTAAGTTCTCCATAAAGGGAATAAACCAGAATACTATAATTGTGTGTTCTGTAGTGTCCAGAAGGGGCACCCGGCTCATCCAAGATCGCCCAGCTAACAGTGTCCACTCCTGATAGAACCTGTGCCTTCCCCAAGGAAGACTGCGTCAGATCAATAAATTAACGAAAGGCACTTGTGGGGTGTGTGTTGGGAGTGATGGTGAGGGTTGGGGGTTAAGTATGGGGTGCTGTTTGAGGGGCTTCCCTATTAGGGCCCCCATCACATGGATCAGCCAGCCACTCACTGGCTAAATAAGTAGCTCAGAACTGCCTGGAGGGAAAGCCATATGGTTAGTGCTTCTCCAGCCCAGCTGAGCAGAGAACAAAAAACTGAGGTGGACAGACAGGGTAGGGGGAGCTGGCGCCTGGTCTCTTCTAGCCCCTGCCCTCTCTCCCTTGTCCCCTCTGCCTGGCTGAGGCAGAAAGAGCCCTTTGTAATGGAGGAGTCCTCGCTGCTTGGCACCAGAAGAAAGAGAATGCTGTTTGCTTCCTGTGGAACTCCTGCACCCCTCTGCCAGCCCCACACCTCATCTTCTGAGAGCCCAGGCTACAGTTTCCACCTCATCCCAGAAGGGTTAACTGGACTCAGAGATGCATCGTCTGGGAGGTCCAGGGATCAGCTGTTAGCCCCTCCCAGAGTGAAGAAGGAGTTGGAAAGCTGGAATCAGGGTGGATCTCAGCCTGGTGTAGAACACCAGTTTATCTCGCTATCTGGGAAGCTGGGGCAGCTTCTTACAGCTGTAGGCAGAGCTGTCAGCTATGGTTTTGCAGGCATTGAGGTGCTCAGCAACCAAGAGATAAAGTGTGAGAACCATAGCCTAATAGGGCTTAACCAGCCTCTGCTCCAAGCCTCCAGCACGCTCCTGCCTCCTGACTATTCTGCCAGCTCCCCCTGCTGAAGCCAGCTCCAGTCTAGTGGAGCAGACAGCTTCCCCAACACACACCTTATCTCCTCACCTGGCACTCAGGACCCTCCCCCATCCCTATGCTCAACCTCCTCCCAGCCTCATCTCCCACAGCTGCCCTTCCTACACGCTTAGGCTCCAGCCAGCATACCACTTGCTATTCTCCACATATCACCACGTGTTCCCTCTGCCATGAATTCTCTCTGATGGTTCCTTCTCCCCTTCTCTGTGGACAACCTAACCCTGTGCCACATCTCCAGGGCAGCAGTCCAATAGAAGCCCCCATATCTCTCTCCAAGATTGTAGCAGCAGCCTACTAACAGGACTCCCTGCTTCGCCACTGTTCCCCTCACCTATCACTCTGTCACAGCAGCCAGCATGTGACCTAGCTCAAAGTTAGGGAGGGAGGGAGGAAGGAAGGAAGGAAGGAAGAAAGAAAGAAGGAAGGTCCAAGAACCAGAAAGGGCAAGGGGAATTTGGTGAAGGAACAATCCTTCAAAGGTTGCTCACATTATGCAAAAATTTTATTTACTAGGAGCGTTTTCAAAATAACACTTTCTCTTACACTACATTTTCATCACAATTTCATACCACTATCCTTTGCATAAAGTGGGGTCTGCCCTCATTTTCCCTGCCCAGCGCTCTTACAGAAAGGATAGTGCCTCCTGTGGGGATTGTGAGCAGAGCTTTTGATGGTACAGTTGGGGACAACCAGATGGACTAGTGGAGGATAATGGTGTTGTGTGCCATGCTGTACAGAAATAAAAGAATCCAACTTTTTCGGCATAGTCAAGAGGGTGTGCCAACACTGCTAGCTGTCTTTCAAGCCATCCTCCTACCTTCTTTGCTTGCAAGACCCTGATTTTGTTCAGGTTTCAGTTGGGCATGTATTTTAAGGACCTATAGGTTTCAGGTACCTGTAGGTTCAATTTCGACATGCCTATGGTAGATTACCCTTCAGGTACCCATAGGTTCAATCTTGACATGCTGAAGGTAGATTTGGTGATAATTCCACCATTCTTCTCATGGCTGATGTAGAAATGGGCACAGGTACTTTCGGGGAAAGTCTGCTCAGGGTTTCTGGGAAACATTCTTTTGTTCTTAGAAAAGAGACAGGAAAAGAACAGTGGCTCTTTTCTACCTCTAGATGTTGTTTAAGTGTGACACCCATAAGGATGGCAGCCATGTGAGACCCAGTGACTCCAGCCTAGGAGAACCAACCAGCCTGCACAGGACAGCAGAGCAGAAAGCTAGGAGAGACTAGGAGTCTGAGGACTGCGCTGCTGAAAGAAGCAACCTTGAAACCATTCATTCTACCTGCAGGAATCTGATGTTAGAAATAACAAATGTCCTTTAAGTCAAGACTCTGTCCTTGATCTTTCTGTTATTTGCAGCCAAATGCATGCTAACTGATGCAGAGGTGACCCTTACATGGCAGAGGGAAGGCAATCTTTGATGTACTCCTTTGAGACTTCCTCGCCATTCTTATCAATAAATGTGCAGCCAACAGGTTCCATAGCCCTATGACTTGTTTTATGGAAGAAACCCAGAAGCCATCTTTCCATAGTTACACAGTGAGTTTACATGGTAGACCCCAGACCAGGGCTCTTCTCTCAGCAGGTGGCTTAGCAGGAGGACAGCTGACTGATAATTATCCCAACCTCATCACAGATCCACTGTGTTCAGGGTGTGCCAAGCACTTTTATGTGACATCCCAGGATTCTCACACTGACCTTGGGAAACTGTAGGCTTCAACTGCATTTTGTCCAGGTGAGGAAACTGAGGGACAAGAAGCCAATCTCAAGTCACCTGTCCTTTTCATGCAAGAATCACCTTCAACTCAGGTGTAATAAGTCCGTGGCAAGGTGAATCAGAAGTCTAGGAATTTTCCTCCCCGATGTGTAATCAGAAGACTTGTGTGCTACTGCTTCCTGGATCCTCTATCTCTGAGGAGGATGGCTCCTCTGAACACCCCTGACTTACCTCCACAGGACATGTGAGGCTTAAAGATAATGCCTAAGAAATGTATGCATCTGGTCATTTCGGGTAGTATGGTAAGTGTCAAAGCAGAAGGGGACTGTTGTTGCACCTTCATGGGACAGTACCCTGCCACCCCACTCCAAGCCCTCCTAGCTTCAGCCTGCCTTGGTCCCACCAAGGGAAAACTGCAGGAGCAAGCCCAGAGTTTACAGAACACCCGGGAGAGGCTGTGAGTAGCTGGGTAATTTCCAATTAATTGTAGGAGAAACCTAACAAAACAATCTGCAGGCTAAGCATCCCAGAGCTCAGCCTCCTGTGAGACTGACAGCCTGGAATCCAGCGAGCACAATGCCTGACCACAGACGGGAGGGCCCTTCCTCTGGGGAGGAGGAGGCCTGTCTTCCTTCCAACAGGGGCCCGTCCAGGCCTGCAGCAGGGCAAGAGGAGAGCGAAGCCTAGGACTGACACAGCCTTTCCACCCAAACCCCGAACTGCGCACTGCAGTTCGCATAAACAGCTTTCCCCCAACCCTTCCTGCCAGGCTGGCTTGCCCAGTGAACTCTGCCCTGATAGACACTT